TACTTCTCGTGTCAGTCTAGGGGATATGTATTTCATGTGCCTCTTAAAATTAGCGAAAAAATCAATTTTATTCATATGAATATTGAAAAACCTATATCAAGGATCATTGCGTTGGATATTATTATATATATTGCTTTTGATTTTTTTTTTAATGAAAACGAGATACAGAAATTAAATGAAATATGGAGATATCGAACAGTATTCAAGCTCAAAAGTCCATTGAAACGATACAAATCAGGAGCAGAGCAAACACAGACCTCTAAAACATATTTGTTTAATACGTAGATTTTATAAAATGTCAGATTTTGAAAGAAGCAATTTAGCACCAAGGATCCACGAGAACATAATTGACTTAGCTTTCGATATTTCTGATAAATCTAGAAAAAAGACGTCTTAGAGTATAAAAGAAAATTAGAGCACCTTTATTCTGTTATAGTCTTATTATTTTGATGAGGACACAAATAAGCTAAGGCCATTATTTACACACTGAATTGTCGACGGATTTTTTTGTTATTTCCCGATCATGACAAGGAGCACACGGCGGGTGTGACCGGTCGGCAGGGTATGCTCACGCCTCCATGGCACCTGATCCCTCCTCCGATGTTATAGAGGTCTGTGTTTGCTCTGCTCCTGATTTGTATTGTTTGAATGGACTTTTGAGCTTGAATATTGTTCGTTATCTACATATATTTCATTGATGCTATGTTATAACTATGTACGTTTAGAGATATGTGTTTTTATGCATTATGAATATATTATGCAATTTGATAGTGAAGTAATATTTCAAAATCAGTGTCTCAACTTAAGTTGTTCAGAACATTATGTTCATGTTCTATATATAAAAAAAAATCACTATTTTATATTTAACGTATATGCAGGCTTCTCTATCATTTGAAATTACATACCAGTTAAATGACATATTTTTGCAAACTTGATATGAAAATATTCTTTACATAAGTTTCAGAATTGAAGAAATATAAATTAGACGGATGTTCCATCATTTATACATTTCCTATTAATCCCAAGAGGTACTTGAAATATTTTTCCTTCATTAACTTCATTAAAACGCGAAGTAGGCAATTATTGCTTAAGGAAAGACAACTCCAAATTGACGTTAAATTATTCCTGTAGCTATTTCCCATTATCTGTGTAGACAAGGAAACTAATGCCTGGGAGTGCGGTCATAATAATTCCTGTTTCCAATACGATAATATTATCAAATATGTTAAGGTTATAATGATCCTCTTGGCATATGCATACACATATGGCTTAAAGTGATTCCTCAAATTGATCAATTTCGTTCCCATTCACATACAATGTCATCATCTAATTTTTTGCCATATTAGATTGATATTTGTGGACAAATGGATGTTTTATGGAATGTAGTGACACGTCAACAGGGGATGCTTACTTCTTCTAGACACCTGATTTCACCTCTGGTGTGTGTTTTTGCCCGATGCACGTTTCGTTTTGTTTTTATAGGATTTATGAAATTGATCAAAGCTCGTTATTTTAACTTTTTTCATTACACTGTAGATAATTTCAAAATACCATTTCTATGTTAGAATAGAATTCCTAATTATACGTAGCACGACAATAATTGTTTGAGGAAGTACGACGTCAGATTTAATTGGAATCATAAGTTTCCTCATTTCAGCAGCTATCAATGATATGAACCAGGGACATGAGTATACTAATCGATAATTAGAAGATATTTTATATGTATTATAGAAAATATACATATGTATTTCAGTTGTATGAGAAGATTATGTAACCATTATCAAAACGATGCAAGTTAAAGTATATTTGTATATAAAAGTACTTTATCTCAACAAACATTTACTTTAGTAATCAAGAGTTTACGTATATACTTTGATACCTTGATTTATTATTCAATATGAAATTTCGATCTTTAATTTACTATGCTAAAAATTTCGATATCTTGGTTAACTTAAAAAAAATTAAATACTATGAATTACTATACGCAACTATACTTTACTATTATATAAATAGATTACTATATTTTTGAACATGTTTCTTCCATTTGATTCTTCCATTTGATTCCGGAGTGATGAATAGGCTATTTTAATTGAATTTGGAAGGAAAAAAAATACTCGTTTGTTTGGCGATCCTTAAACCTACTAATTATTTCTGTCAACATGCTATTTGCAAGATAGCTTAAATAATTGCATGTAATTATATGTAGTGTAAATTTATGAAAGAAATTTAAAAGAATTACTCAAAGGCTTAGATATTCCTTTTGAAGGATCCATTTGTGAATGTGTATGGGTGGAGGGACAACTTTTCCATGCATTTAACTGAGGCTTTTGCTAAATGGAGATAGGATGGCTAGTTGTATGTAAATATTTCTGGAGTTATGGCTAGTTGTATGTAAATATTTCTGGAGTTATGGCTAGTTGTATGTAAACTTTTCTGCAGATATGGCTAGTTGTATGTAAACTTTTCTGCAGATATGGCTAGTTGTATATAAACTTTTCTGCAGATATGGCTAGTTGTAGGCAAACTTTTCTGCAGTTATGGCTAGTTGTATGTAAACTTTTCTGCAGTTATGGATAGTTGTATGTAAACTTTTCTGCAGTTATGGCTAGTTGTATGTCAACTCTTCTGCAGATAATGCTAGTTGTATGTAAACTTTTCTCGAGTCTTTGTGGTCATTCTGATACACAATCGTCAATAAAAATATAAATAAGTTAATCAGTGATAATGCGTCCGCTCTAATTGTTGCATAATAAAAGGAAAATAACATCAGAGGTTATCATTCCTACATACGACTGTCAAGGAAGAAATGTAAATAAGGTAATCTCATTATATAATACAATGATAATGCATCCGATCTGTTGTATAGAAGGAAATAATCTTAGGAGTTATCTTAGAGTAGGGAATCTCCTAGAAGTAGGGAATCTCAGACTGCCTCCAGCTTTTTTTTAATTATGAAAGACACACTCAGGATAAGTTAGAAATCATTGCCCTCATTCCTTACTTCTAAGGAAATGGAAGGTGATAGACTATTAAATGCGTGAACTTTGTGTTAGGAATATTGTGAGATCTGAAAATGAAGCATTTTTTTTTTTTAAAAAGAATTATAATTTTGTTAATTTTATTTTCATATAGCGATAGCCTTGTGGTAGCCTTATGGTTGGGCACTCCTGATTGAGAGGTCTGGATTCGTTTCTATTTCTACAAAATTACTTTGTAAAAAATCACTGATTCTACGCATAAATACTCTGAGGCTGATGTATAAAGGATACTGGAGTTCCTCGTTGACAACATCTATGTAGTCTTTGGAGACACTGAAGCTCTTCCAATAATCTGTTTGAATTTCACTGGGATCTAATTGTGCTCTTTTATTCAGCTTTTCCATCGTCAACTTTCATTTTTTATGTAGTAACATTCCACTATCACCTGCATATGATGTTTATGTCTTCAACTTATTCCATGATCAAGAGAATGTGCTCTGAGTACATTCAAAGTTTTATTCAAGGTAGGCTACTGACAAATGAGTTGATGTTACAGAGTTTTCAACATCTCGTTTAAAGTCAGCATTTAAATTCTATGGTCGTTATAATGGTCTTGAAATACAATGTTTCATATTTTGACTGATATATTTCAAGCCAACTTCATGCTAAATTTGACTACGGATTATTCTGTTTACCTGATCATACTTATTTATAGGATTCAATGTGGGTGTGACCGGTCGACAGGGTATGCTTGCTCCTTCTAGGCACCTGATCCCACCTCTGAAATTTCCAGGAGTCCGTGTTTTATGTCCTGTTCACAGATTTGTATTGGTTGCAATTTTTTTTTTTGAGATCGAACACTGTTTTTTTTATCTTATCTTTTACCTATTTACCCTAAGACATTTAACATAAGTGGTGACTGTTCCTTCGACAAGCGCCCGGCATAAAAAGTGAAAGTCACGGGTCTTTCAGATGAGACCATATAAAAAGAGGTTCTGTGTAATGGTAGGCGTGATAACGATAAAGATCCTTCACTGCTACGGCCGAAAGGAACAAATATAAGCCAAAATTTGTGGCATTTCACCTACAGTAGGTTAGATCTCTAGTTTCGAATGTTAAACAATAAACGGTAAATTTCTTAATAGTACTACTTTGAATTTTTAGATAATCAGTGTTTATTTTACAGAGAATACCATTTTCTTACAGTAAAATTTCCATGTGCAGTGGATCTAAACATCGTTGTAGATACTGACAAATAAAATATACGAAAAAGGCCTTTTTAGATAGTAAACTTGTACATTAAATTTGTATACAGGCCTGGAAAATCTTACTGTAAATTAAACGTTTGCAATGGATGTACTATGACTGATTTTCTGTTTTTATCTCGAACCCCCCCCCCCCCCCCCCAAGCTCCTCCCTGCAAAAGATCAATACATAAGCTCTATATCTACTTTATGTGCAATAGAAAATAAAAATATAAATTTTTCTATGACAACTGAGGAGGAATCTTAATCATCTCATTATTTCGATGATAATAAAGGATATCCGTCACAACCGTTTATTGATTGATTTTATCGGGGGGGGGGTCAAAGTGTTGTTCAAAAGATTCCAGAGACAAAAAAGTATTCTTTTTTGGTGATTGCCTCATAGCATTGTCACTCTTGAATGGAAATGTAACATATCATAAGTATATTTAAATTTTTTATGAATATATATTTTTTTTATTCATGCACATTTCAATTTTTAATACAAATTTTTAATTCCAAAACATTTGTATTACCTATTTTGAAATAGTCTCAAAGTATATTTTTATCATTACATCCCTAGTATTAGCCGACTAAGTTTAATTCAATTATAAAGGGACCTGCATAAATGTGTTTATGCACTTTTATTTTATCATACAAATTACTAGTATATACAAATAAACATACTTTAATTAAGATAGGAATAGAAAAGAAATTAGTTGATAAAAATTCACAAATTATGCATTTCATTTCAACTTGACATTTAGAATGCTTTATTTGAATGAGATGTTTTATTGCAATTATTTTTCCAAAACTTAACGTATTTATAATCTTTAATTCACAACAGTCATCTTAAAACCGTTTTCAGTTTTCTTTCTCATTTCTCTTCTGCAGTAGTAATGGACAGCATTCTTGAGCTCAAGGGATCTTTGTATTTTCCACTTGGTTTCATTTACTTGACAAACACTGTTTATTATTTTAGGAACCAGACAAACAAACAGAGTTATGGCAGCCTGCATAAGGTCCGACATACGTTTGAAGTCTTGGAAATCAGAAAGCACTAATACTGAAACTGACAGGACGGAAGCAATAAAGGCTATTTTCAGAACAGAAACAAATATTTCTCTCCGAATCGGTCTAGTTGTTTGAATGACATAAGAAAAAAGCTTTCTGGGGATACCCTGAAATTCGTCCACCGTATGAATTAGGGAAATTCCCGGATACTTATTTTCTGTCTTGAGCTTCTCGCAGACGTCTCGAACATGAACAAATAAGTCGTCATAGACGGAGTGAATGAAGTTGATGCTGTCAAATATGTACATAATGACAGTGATGGCAAGGATAACGTACCCATAGGAGAAATCAGGATTGGCAAACAATCCCGTGTAAGTGTACGTCAGGATCTGTGAAATGAAGACGAAACTGTCGATAAATATAATACTGAAGAAGTACAGTAGAAGCAGCAGTATTAGAAACACCAGCAAGGTCATCACGGGCCTGAGGACCCGGATTATAGTGGATCGATTGGAACAGAATGATGCAACTGCACCGCAATAGGCCCTTACACAGGTTATAAATAAGAAAACTATTGGTACTCCGAAATATAAAATACACAGAAGTAATTCAAAAGAACACATAACACAGTAAAGTGGAAATGCTAGTATCCAACAAATGTGCAAAAATCCCGATTTTCTTTGAAAAAGTGAATTCCATCTGGCCAGCTGGATGATTAAACAGTATCTCCAGAACTTAATGTTTAACAACATCAGGAAATGGGAAACCATTATCATTTTGAATTGTTTGTACCCGTTGACATTACGAACGTATTGAAGAGAGCCATACTTAATTTTGATACAAATGTCACTAGTTAAAGGTGAAATAGATATTCCCTCGGTATTCTCTGTTAATCCTTTTGTAAGAAATGTGCTCAGATCTTTCGGAACACATAGGAATAGCAGCGAGAAACATATAAAAAGTACGATAGCCGGAATTGGTCCATAGAAGTGGTACAAATAGTTAGATCTTTGGACCGTGATGTTTGATATTAGCATTGAAAGAAATCCCATAGGAACTCCTTGTCTCACACTTTCGACGACAAATTCTCTCTCTGTGTATTTGTAAATAATCAGCTTTGTTGTAAGAACAGAGAGACAGGCAACTAGAAAGAAACATCTACAGTACCTCTTCGACAAGCAGCAAGCATTGCTTTTAAAACACTCAAAAACAGAGCTGAATTGTAAAGGGTTGTAAAATATTACGTTTTCATCTTTATCTATATCGACATTTGAAACCTCCTGTTCATCTACGTAAGTGTATGCTAAACCTCGAAACGTTCCATATTCCACAGAAACTTCTCTTCCAATTTTCAAACGGTTTTCTTTGTCTGGAATACATTTTCTATATAAGAATCCAACTATGCCAAAGACAGCAATGGGTGAATAGAAATAGACGAACGATCCCAGCAAAAAGGGTAGAAACCATTTCAGTTGATGTCGCTTTTTCTCGCATATTATCAGATTCTTCTCGTAGTTTTCCCATCTGCAACACCTGTAGGTCAAGGATTCAAATGGACAGAGAGCGTAATGGCACATCGTCCATTTTTCATTACTTACCAGAATTCTTTCTTTATAGCACCACACACTGCTATCATATTTCATGTTCTCTTTTGAATCAGATACGAGTTTTCTTGTCATATTCGCCAACGCTCTTGCTATGCCAAAAGTTGTCGCTGGAAGTCCAATCATCATGTTGTCACAGTTTCCATGATGGACGATTTCTATTGGCAGGTCCCGAAGCGTGTGAGAATCGAGAAGACCAAACGATAGTACATTATATTCTACTGGCCAAGAGAGATAGGCTGTAGCGCCATCATTCCCATTGAATGTCCATACCCATTTGTATGCTTCGATCACACACCGAGTCCAGCGGACAGTCACATTGCCAAAGTGGAGATTAATCATGACAAAATTGTAACCGTAATGTCGAACATTTTTGGAAAATAAAGTTGCAGACGCTGAAGATACGCTTAAATTACAGTCATCAGTATTATTATAAAACATAGGAAAATCATCCAAGCAATCGTATCGAGACTTTTTCTTTGATCCGTCCACTGTCACCGTGAAAAACAAAATTATAAAACTAATTTTAAGGAATTCCATTATAAACAAGCTCTGTATCGATTATAACAGTGCAGTAAGGAATCAGTGTACTCCGCAATCTGAAACAAACTAGACGTCAAGGAAGTATATACATAACATTTCCATTATAATCGACTTAGTACTTCCTTTTTCCTGTGGAATTACATAAATTTTCCACATTGATTATATGATTATCAATATCACATACTTCTTGGTCCACATGAGCCAAATGCTCAGAAGAGTATTGGCGTCTTGCTGTCTGTCTATCTGTTTACAATATACACGTATATTTTTTTTATTGTTTGGAAACTTTTCATACATGTATTTTGATAGACTATACTCGGTCATTTCCAACCAAATTAGTTAAAAACATCCTCGGGTAACGGGAATTTGAATATGTTCACACCTTTTTTCAAAGGGAAATTATAATGAGATAATGAAAATATGGGTTCATTTAAAGATCTTTATATAACCATCTTCAATGCTAAAAAAGTTTTGAATGCTTTTATCTAAGTGTAGATTCAAAATTGATCAATTTTTGGCCACTGGGGCTTGTATCTGATCACAATCGGCGTTTTAAGTTTTTTTTTTATAGAAGTCCATATGACACGTTTTAATCGAATTTCTTTCCAAGAGCAGCAGGTCAACTAGTCATATATGCAAGAATCAACAGGTGGTTTACATTCGTGTGTTCAAGTCATGACCCCCGTGACTAAAATGGGTCCCTAAATGTAAAAGGTGAAGATGATAAACAGTGGACAGTAAAGAATACAAATCAAGAAAAGAGAAAAAAAAACATGGACCCCTAAACACACCAGAAGTTGGATCAGGTGCCTTGGAGGAGTAAGCATCCTCCCTCTGTCAACCGGTCACACCTACCGTGCGACCTTGAGCTGTACTTTTTCCGATGAAATAAGTAATCCGTAGTCAAATTGGTAAATAAAAATGGCCTGAAGATTGGTGGAAAAAAGATCGGTATGAAACAGCCCAAAAATATTTTGCATTTCTATGATAAAAAAATGGAAAAATCTCATCAAGAATGACAGGTTCAAAATAAAGCATATTAATATACTAGTATTAGCATCTTGTTTGTTCAAATTTCCCCAGGGGCTAGGATGGGCCATAATAGGCTTAAACCTTATACATAGGCACATATACCAAATTTTGAAATATCTTTTCAAAAACAGCAGGGTCAAAATATGCAAGCTTCTTTGGGTAGTGAAGATTCAAGTTTGTTAGAACCATAGCTTCTTTGTTTAGGTCAGGGCAGCATTAGGGGGCTAAAACTTTATAAGGGATTATAATACTGTAAAACTTCTAAACATATCAAATATTAGTCATTTTATTATGTGAGCATTTTCATTATTTGTATAAATTATGCTCCCGGGGGACAGGGCAATATCAGAGGGTCAAATTTATATAAACAAAAATGTAGTCATAGGAAGGGAATATCTTATTGTATGGAATATGTTTATAATATCAATGAACAAAACACAAAACTCTCCCTAGATTCTTGCAGTAAAATCTTCATTCATTAATCTACAGAGATTTACAATCGTCAAGATGTGCTTCTTTTTAGTCCTGGTCCACCAGAGGATATCCTGCAGAAGAACGTTTAAACATACACGTAAATAATTTACCGTCTATCCTTTATTTAATAATAAATATATAACATGTAATTAGAAATGCATTGGCAATATCATGCAGACAGGTTTATGCCTAAGTCAAATTTAGGAAAAAACTATTCAGAAAAAGAAACAATACTTCATCAGATTATATGAGGTTGGATTTGAGCTTACAAGTTGAGATGAATGTCTACTTTTTGAACCCGACACAAAATAGACAGCAGTCCTTTCTAGCTTGATAGTCCTCACACATGAGAACTAGATCCGCCCCATAGTCTCTGTAGTAGATCTCATTACAATACAAGTTCCCAGCAGGGTTAGACTTGCATGCTGTTTCCACTGGTCGAGGTCCTGCGTTAATTACAAGATAAATGAAGTAGAAAAATAATAAAGTTCTTTTAAAGAAGAAAAAATACAAAAAAAAAAAAAAAAAAAAAAAAAAAAAAAAAAAAAAATTTAAAAAAAAAAAACCAATTTAAATGTGTTTGCCTTTATTGAATAAATTAAAAATCAAATGCAAAATATTAAGTGTAAGAAAAGTCATAACAAAACCAGCTTAATGTTTTGTATGTCTTTTGGAGTAGTGTGTCAAGTTTTAGAATATACAAAACCTAAAAAAGAAATGGTTTCAAATACAATTTTATATTTTTAGAAAACACGGCAGGCAATATACTAGTCCTCTGTCAGGATTGGATCGAATGCATACTCTACTTAAAATATTTTTTTTAAAAATAGACAATGCAGTTTTATACTTTTTTCCTTGAAATTCAAACTCCTTTAGTAATATTTTAAAACACCATATGTATGTTATAGATCACCTTTATTACCGTTTTTAAACGGATCATAGCCAGGGCCCCTAGCTGTACCTGGTAGCTTTCAGTTTATGTAAATCATTTTAATAGGGTAGGCAGAAAAATTATTAAAAGTAAAAGAAAAAATCTATGATATTTTACGTGAATGGTTAAGACATTAGATGAAAAAAAATCACAATACACGTATTACAAATAGATAATATAAGCATAAGATGCCAACTTAGACACAGAAATACTATATAAAATTGTGTAATTTAGGGTAAAGAGTAGATTTTAAAAGATGGTTAAACAAAACAACTATGATGTAAAATTGAAACCGCTTCAAGATCAGAAAAAAAGATAATGTTTGATTAAAATATTTTAATGAGAAGTATTGCTAATGTTCTAAAAATAATACAGCAAATTAGGTATCATTTACTTACATTATAACTAAAGATTACTTACCTGACCAAATAAGAAACAAAGATATAGAAATAAGAACTGTCAAACTCTTGGCCATTGTGTTCTCAATTTACAAAAATGGTATACAAATATTTCCACAACGTTACTTTTTATACTACCAGATGTGCATAAAAAGTCCAACTTAATACTCGAAATTATGTCGTAAACTTTATTCTATAATAAATTCATCTGGTTCAACATTCAGATAAAGTACCGTGACATTTCCCTCTTTTAATATACAATAAATGTTAATTCCAATAATTACAGTTGTGCGCATTTGCCCTAGATGCCCAACAGTTGTGAGTCATTGAACTATTTACTGTTATCAATTATTAAGTTATATAAAAGGTGGAGATAATAAACAGTGGTCAATCTCATATATCCAGAAAGAATACGATTCGTGAACAGGGCAAAAACACGGACCCCTGGAAACACAAGAGGTGGGATGAGGTGCCGACCGATCACAACCGCCATGAGCCCGCTGTATTGATCACGTAAACGGAGTAATCCGTAGTAAAAATTGTATAAAAACAATGGCTTAACAACTAGATTGAAAGATGTCAGTCAAAATATGACCCAACGATAGGCTGTATTTGCAAAAAAAAATATTATAACGACCATAGAATTTGCAAAATGCTGACTTTAAACGAACAAGTTGATTACCCTGTATCATCAACTTATTTGCCTCTGTTTTAAAATAATCGTACTCAGAACATGCTCTTAAGTATCGAATCGGAAGACATAAGCACCATATGCAGGTGATCGTGGAATATTACAACATAAGCAGAGAAAGTTGATGGTGGTAAAGCCAAAGTCATCCATTTGTCATATAGTTTAGGTGTTTGTTGACCATTATCGTCTATAATCAGTTAAACATCCAAGTATGAAGCAGATGTGGCAGACTCTGTAATAATCCTACTTAATTGTCATTAAATATCTAATTAGGTGTTTGTTGACCATTATCGTCTATAATCAGTTAAACATCCAAGTATGAAGCAGATGTGGCAGACTCTGTAATAACCCTACTTAATTGTCATTAAATATCTTATTATTTAATCACATAAAGGGATATATTCATTAATGTATATTTTTTCCGGACGGGGACAATGACTGCAATAATAGTATCAATCAGTGTATAGAGCCTGTCCCTATTATACGATCTTTAATTGCCGTCCCTGTTGACATTGTAAAAGAGGTCGGATTTGTAGATACATAAGTCTCAGGAATTCGCAAACAAAAAATTTATTGACATACAAGTATAGAAAGTAAAATATCTTATATATTTGAAATAAAAATCAGCATTATTAGAATACAATATAAAGAATTGTTAACGATAGGAAAAAATTCAGGAAGAATATACATGTTTAAAAAAAAAATTGGATATACAACAAAAGGAAACCATAGAGTTATTTAAAAAAATTCTTTTGAATTATTAAGCAGGTCTCCTTTTGCTATGGTGATGTATTTCAACAAGCATTCTGAGAGTATTGCATGAGCAATACTAGTCCCCTACCGGCAAGTGTAATCTGGTTCTGTTCCCGTTAAGAATTGAAAATGCCATAATTCCGTCAAAAATTAATGAAGCGGGACGAAATGCAAACTTGATCTATAACTAATCAAGGTAAAGCCACATACCAAAAATCAGCTCAATATCTACAAGCGTTTAGAAGAAAATTGCGGAAAACCCGTAAAAATTGAAAAGGACGTAATTCCGTCAAAAATCAATGAAGCGGAACGAAATGCAAACTTGATCTGTAACTCATCAAGATACACTCACATACCAAAAATCAGCTTAATATCTGCAAGCGTTTAGGAAAAAAGTGTGGAAAACCAAGTGGGACAGACTGACAGACAGACAGAGGGACAGACAGACAGACAGACGGACAGACAGACAGACAGACGGACAGACGGACGGACAGACTCAGAGGAAACCTATAGTCCCCTCCGGTTTCACCGGTAGGGGACTAATAACATACACCAATCAATAATTAAGATGCTTCAATCATATAAAAAGAGAAGTCCAACGTATTATATATTTTTAATTTTTTAAAAGTTATAAAACTAACAAAACAAACACAAGCATTTGGCCATTATATATAAATAATTAACAACGTCATACACATAAGTAAACTTCATGTTCCTCGCACATGATAGATGTATAAAATTTTAAAACGACCAGAGTTCAAAATAGCACTGGGTCAAGGAACAAATATTGAAAAAAAAACACAGGAAAGTACTTGTGAGAACTGGTGCATGTATCATAGCAATGTAGTTTAATATTGATCGATGCATTGGTGTCAAGGGATTCAGTGTTACTTTCAGTCAATTTATAGCCTACGGTAGCACTGCTGCTATTACCAATAATAAGAATGTATTCATTTCAATCTTTGTTCCTGTAAAGAGAGAGAAAACAAAACAGTTAATATTTCTCATATATAATTCAATATACATATATATCATGAATTGACGCAAAACGTACATGGTAAGTAAATCTATAATCATTCTGTAAAACACGCCATATAAGGTTCATAGAAGGCGAGAGTACTAGAACATTGTTTTACCTAAACTGCTACCAAAGGCGTCTGTCTCACAAATAAAGGCGGCCTTTCTGTCACATCCTACGTCGTTATATCGTCCGCCATAGTAGATCACTGCGCAGTAATCAGACCCCCCGGAGTTATTGGGTTCAGTGTTCCAAGGTCTGCAGCGAGACATATAGGTAAACCAGGAATAAAAGGCAGCAGTGAGTTGAACTTCATTAAAGAAGCATTCGAATGTTTCTTAAATCAGCATAAATACAAAGTGGTATATATCTTTATATCCCCCTTACAAAAAAGTAAAACAATGAACATTGTACTTACATAAGCCCTGGCTGTACAGGGTTATTAAAGTCTGTGTCATACACCCAGTTTCCCTCCACTTTCATGTCGTTTAGTCCTGTCCACCAACCAAAGGCCGTGGTATAAGTCTTAAGTTCATTCTGAATGAACTCCTGCCATTTAACATTCAAAGTTCAATAATTAATATTTTTCCATAATTTTTTTTAAATTTTAGCAAGAATAAAATGCTTCCAAATCCACATTTCAGATTTTTTTCTGAAACCATAGAAATCTTATTCGGTAGCGTATTCATTACTGCTATTCATTCAAAAGAAATGCGCAAGTTTTATATTTTCCAAAATTTTCTTAAAAACTTTCTTGCACATTTTGACCTAGCTTGCCTCTTGTTTACAATCGCAGAAAATAATTTTGTCAATTCCTGTCTAATAAAGAAATGAAAAAGAAAGGTGAAACATCACTGTCTTTATGTAGTATAAAATCTATAAAATTAAATAAAATCCTTTTCCTTACCAGCTCTTGTTTTGTATTAATTGCTAAAAGGTATCCATCCATATTTGTAATAAGTTGTCGACAGATATCACGTGATTCAAACCACGTGGCTCCAACATTCTGAGTAGTGTTGCTGATGTAATAACAGCTAAATTCGTCCTCCTCAGGGGAGGGAACCCATCCAGCGGGACATGGTGCATCTGTTTGAAATGTAGACTGTATAAAATGACCACAAGAAGATCTGCATAGAGAACAAGGCTTTTTTCCAATCAAGAGGTCCACAACATCAGGCCATAAATGTCCGTAGATCACATCAGATTGTGCCATTTATTTTAATTTATCTTAAGATGCTAATTGAAATATGAAAGAAACCTTTACGCTGGGTCTAAAACTTTATTTGTTTATTTGTCCAATCAATGTTTTTTTCCCGTATTCTTTTGTATCATGATGGCAGCATTTATGCAACGTAGATGATTTTTTTTACCTTCAGATTGCAGTTCACAGATATATGGCAGTGGTTTATAGCAAGAGAAGTCGTTAAATGTTCCGTCCTGGAGAATGAGAGCACAGTCCTCTTGTCCTGCAAAGTCGTTAGGTTCAGCATTCCATCGTCTACAATAAAGAAGTCAATAAAAAGAAAGAAAAAAAGAATCAAAGGAAAAAGGAAAACAAGATTCATTGCATTCCATCTAAAGAATAGTAATATCCTCACACCAAATCCATGTTAGCTTTATGTTCATTTGTCCAGTACCAGGTTTTGTCACTGGGATGGAAGTGAAGTCCAGACCAAAAGGCGAAAGCCCGGTACTGCGTTGTGATGTACTGAATCCAGTCCTGGCCATTGCAAAAGAAAAGTTTTTAAAAAATGGAATTTTCTGTAAATACATGTATTGCATAAAAAAGACAAAAAAAAAAAAGGAATTCCTTGAGCAAATTGGCATTTTGGCAATTGAAATTCTAATACAGTTTTTTTTTTAGAACTTCTTAAAGCTATTCTTAAATTTAAAATTTACTCTTTCGTCTTTGGTAGTGATTTGCAGAAGTCGAGTGTTGGTTTTCTGACATGCATCATTTGACTCTTTCCATGTGTGTCGGGCTGCTGTGTTAAATTTGTAGCATTTGTACCCAGCACGTAACCAGTTGTTAGGACAGCCCAGTTCATTCAATACAGGGAGACCATCTTTTTTCACAAATTTGAAATGAATATATTATCAACTTCGTTTCATCTTATTCCATGTTACCAATTATAATTCATTTTTCTGTCCAAAAGCATTTTTACTTGCTCTCTTAAAAAACCTATTGTCATTTACTAACAGTATATTTCATCTGAAATATTATCCGGTAGAATATTCATCCAAACAGAAGTTATTCTTTCATAATGCTACAAAGATATTACCCCCTTTGTAAATATCTATGCTCCTGAAAATATGCTGAAATAAAGAGTTCATTCAACACTGGATGTTGAAAAATGATGGCGCTTCATTGTTATGTATCTGCACAGCCAATACTTCTTTGACCTCTCTGAGAAAAAGGGTCTCTTACGCAGATTGGTGGTAGATTAATTACATACATGTACTAGTATGATAAATCAGTACCTTGAATTAATGACAAATTCGACCTTGTCAATTGATACATTTTTGGCATAATCTTAGGGGAAAAAACCAAATAATTCATAATTAAAGAGAAATCAATGGCTGACCAAAAGAATGTTTTAGTAAGCAGACGTTTAAAAGTTTTCTCGAGAAGTGGTAGACATTGCAGTATTTTATGACTTGGCTCCATGAACTTTAATGATTCTGACAGTATTTCATAAAGGCTAGGAGTCTCATCTTTGTTGCACTTTCAGCGTAGTCTGAACGTAATTCATAATATTCGGAAAAGTACCTTGAATCATAAGTGAGTTCTCATAAGTACATGTATATTGTTTCCTTCCAATCCTATATCTATATGTTATGAACTTATCTACGTACCCTCCTCTACCTTACTTTACCTGGATTTGGGATCTTTCTCACCTGTGATTGGAGTTTTACACACATAATAAGCCAGGGTGTCACACGACTCATCCCCAAACCTCCCGTTGTTATAGATCAGGCCACAATGTTGGTTCCCTCCTAGATTATTTGGCTCGTTAGCCCAAATTCTGAAAATCACAACAAATAATTGTTCCCTATTTATGATTTGCCTTAAGTTTTTAGCTTTCTTATTTGTGACAGAAAATCGTGGTCATATATCATTGTTGTGTTGGATATCGATAAAATCTGGTTCTTGTTTGCTTTCATTCAATTTTGGTTGATCTTTATTTTCTTGCTATTGTGTACTTATACTTCATTTTTTGAATTTCTTGCTCTCTTTCATTGAAGAATGGTTAACCTCTTTGCAAGTGTTTACTTACAGTAAATTCTGGTTGACTTTCTGACCATTCCCCCATACCCACTGTCCTTCTACTGCCTGGTCACTCATCCCTATCCACCACAACTGACTTGTCTCGGACATGGTTGACAGCAAACGTCCAAGGGTCATCTGCAAAAAACGTAAATCAATTCTTTTGATAACAGCAAAAATTACATGTGTTGGTTTACAAATACAGAAAAATAGAGTACCAATTCTTGTCTGGTTTCGATCCTGGCTAGATATGTTGGGTAATTAGTAGAGATTTGGTTGTTTACACATGTGTCACTAGCCGACGTCCATGAGTAGACGTCGAACTGATTGCCGAAAAGGTAACAGGACGTGTTCGATTGGGTCCAACCGGTTATACATCCGGTACCTGTAATAAACACGTCTCATTGCTTACATTATTTTGAATCTTTGTCTTGTCGCTGCTAACTTAATTATTCCAATATTTATAGATTTTACACTGATTTTATTCTCCATGTTTTTTCTTCCAAATTTTGGATAACAAGCGCTTACTTGTCGTATACTCGCAGACGTAGCTGTGTTTCTCTGAGCAAGCTTCGTCACTAACGGTACCTTGAAAGTTGAGAGCACCACAATTTTCCAAGTGACGGGTATCATCTGGTTCTGTGTTCCATACACTGACAGAGTAAATATGGGTTCGAAATAGTATCACGCTTATATAAACTTATTTACTATATTTCAAAAACAGTTTTCTGTCTTTTAAAAAATTCTTTAGCCATTTTTCGTCCAAAAAGAAGAATCTTTTGATGATGCCGATGATGTATGTAGTACATAAAATTGATGTGACGATGTCTGTTTAGAATTTGATGAGAATTATAATGGCCATGGGAAACATAAAAAATAATAATGGACAAACTGAATGTAAGGACTTAGTGATGGAGATGCCTTTGGTGGTTGTTAGGATATTAGAAACAAAGTATTCATAAGTGATAATTTTATTCATTCATTTTTATAAAGTCATACACTAAAAATTAAAAGCAATTATAGGTTAAAATGCAACCAAATAACAAAGATTTTATGAACAAATTCCAATGATTGAAGAAATGTAATATTTCTTATTGGTTGGCAACAGGCTTGGGACAATGCTAAATGTAATGGTAATGCATTGCAATGCATTACTTGAACTCGAAGTGATGCTTGTAATGTGTAATGCCAAAAAATTTGCAATACACACAATGCCGCTAAGGTTATGTAATTATTAAAACAATGTATTGTTTTGAGAAAAAAATAAAAACACAAAACTTTGCAACTATTTTCATGAATACATGTATGCATACCACCCCTTCAAATCTAAACATGATGAATGATTTTATTTCAAGTACTTGGTACTCTCTTTCTTCTGACTAAGTTTATATATATATGAAACATTAATTGAGCTGGTCTAGCTTGAGCTGACCTTAACAAATCCATTGAACCAAAAGGAATGGGGATAGAAGACAGACATTTTACTTTTAAAGAGCAAAATGTACATATTGTCAAATCCTTTTTACAAGTTCGTCAGTGCATTTAATTTTTGTCATAATTCAAGGTACTAGATCCACATTATCTTTGATGTCTTATGAAGTTTTGTTTTAGTTTTGAGGAGGGAGTAAATTGCCCCAAAAGTTAATTGCTTTATGACACCAATAGTTACACAAAAAGTACACATTGTACATGTTTTATCTTATTGGTAATTTAAAAGTTTGAACTTCCTATGAATAATAAAAAAATATGTAAATTATTTACAATGTAATAAATAGAGAATATTACATACAAAAATCCATATCATATGTCATATCAGCCCGAATGGCCCCATATCAGCCCGAGGGCCGAAGGGGTGGAATGCATGTTTTATGAAAATAGTTGCAAAGCTTTGTGTTTTTATTTTTGAAAACCTCCAAAAGTAATGGTAATGGTAATGCATTACTTTGCTGAAGCAATGGTAATGTAATGCATTACTTTAAGGAATTATAGTAATAGTAATGGTAATTTAATGCCAAAATTCTTGAAGTAATGGTAATGAAATGCATTACTTTTCAATGTAATTTGCCCCCAAGCAATGGTTGATTTGGTTTTAATACCACAAAGGTAACTCTTTGTGTATTTTAATCTCATCCCATCTTTCGAAGAGCAATTTTTATATAAATGGTGATCAATTTTTAACGGGAATGTCCTAATTTCCACATTTCAAAAAAATTACATTCCTTAAAATAGAGGGTAGTTATCCATCACATCCATCACATAAGTACAATTCAAGGTGATTCACATAATATGTTTCTTGGTTAAAATAAATCTAAATTCATAAAGCAGAGAAAATTATCATTTTAAACCACTGGTTCGTTGTTTCCATGGTTACACTGCAAAGTACCAAATACTTATAATTTTTCTTACGTCATCTGTGTGTACACCGTCCTTATAATGTATATTTGCAAGTCTTCAATTTCCATGTTTTTTCTAAAGATAGCAGCATTAACTAAAACATAGCAACGATTTTTTTGTGTTTATACTGTAGTACTGGCAACCATGAAAGTTATTTTTAGAATAATATTGCGAATACCTGATTTCTTTAGGTCAAATATGATTTTCTTGTGTTGTTGATTGAGTTTGATCATAATACCTATCATTAGTGAATATTGAGCATTTTTCAGCATTTAAAATGTATTCCAAACGTATCCATAGTTACCATTTACTTAGAGATATTTTAAATGGTTTCTTTAAAGCATAAGTGGCAACAAGGTGTAATTTTTTGTGAGAGTGGTTTGTTTGATTTTCTTAATCTTTATTAAGGCTCAATAAATATTCAAGGTAGCCGAAAATCTCAATTTTTCGGACCTTCTCGACTGTTACCATGACAATTAAATCACATAGCAACCACATTTATTTGATACATGTTCTTGGTGTCAAGTTACCGTGACAGGCAAAGTTTCACCAAAAGCAGTGATCATGCGTGCCAAAAAAGTTTAAGTGGTTACAAAGAATAGCTCTTACAATGATGATGATGATGACGGCGATGATGATGATTTTTTTATGTTATGTTAGTTATCTTCATTTATAGTTGTGGTGATTGTTTGATTGATGATGCTTGTGATGATTCTGCATTTGGAATGATGATGAGAATGACGAAAGTATTGATAATAATTAAATAAATGCTATTAGTGACGATCGAAGTTTGTAATTTTGGTGAATGTTGGAATATAAATGATTAAAGAGATGTGTTAGTTTTATAAGGTTACACGGCGTTGCCTGTAGCCAGTGTAGACGCCGCGTTATTTCCCCACGTCCACGCCCCGCCATGGTTAGTGTCCGTCAGCGAAGTCCACCATCTCTCCTTGATCATTGTCTGGTTGTTAAGAACCTTTATAAAGTCAAGCTGAAAAGAATTACCTTTGAATCAATTTTTAAAGCTCTAATCTTTTGCAGACAATACTTAATGATGTGGATAGTTTAACAAATAATTAAGATTTTTTAAAATTCTATTTATCATCACAGGAATGTCTGCAATTGATAAGAACTATGAGGTGCAGTTTTTGGTATTTATTGCCATTTAGTGATATCACCTATTCGAAAAGGTGATACCACTTGTTCGAATTGTTGATATCAACTGTTCGTTTTGAATTGTTGATATCACTAATTCGAATGAGTGATATAACCTATCTGCATTTCTTATAACATTAAATTATAATGAATAGTCTCTTTTCAGGACAATTTAACTTCAATGCAAAGTAAAGGATAACATTTTGAAAAGCTTTGGTAAAACAATTTTATTTTATTATCATTGGTTAACAATGATGATATTGATTTCGTAACTCTTAAACAAACTTTTAAAAAAGAAGATTATAAAAGATTCTTTGGACTTAATTGTCAGTTGAACTTAATTTGAGACAACCCCTACTATTTCGGTATTGATTGATCAAATAAACTGAATTTCCGCTGTAAGATCTCCTTGTTGGCAAATAGAGGGAGGGCACAATTCGTATGTTATATATATACACAAAAAGAGTCCATATAGAGCAATCCGATTTTACATATGGAAAACTGAATTTCGATTAACCCTTAGCAAATTCGGGCTGCCTTTTTTCTCTTTGCTGTAGTCTGAGAAATTTAAAACACCATATATTATCGAACCCTTGCAGTCAGTTTTGCTATATTTACATGTATTGGTACTTTCTCTCTGTTATTATTATTTATGTACAAAGAGACTGAAATGTTTACTTCCTGTATAAAGTAAATGTATGCGGTACATGTATAGTCTTGAGAGCAATTGTCATTTCGTACATAGTTTGAATAGGTGATATCATATCTTCGAATTGATATCACCTATTTGATTTGAAATGGTGGTATCATTTATTCGAATAGAAGATATCACCATTTCAAATCAAATAGATGACATCACCAATTCCAATAGGTAATATCAATAAATCGATTAAGAGACATTACCAATTCAAATAAAATATGTGCTATCTGAATAGGTGATATCACCAAATCAAAAGCTGAATAGGTGATATCACCAATAGGAATAGGTGATATAACCTATTAGAATAATTGGTATCACTTAATGGTAGTTAATACCAAAACGGCCTCATAAGTACCATATTCTATGAAGTTTATTTGCTTTATACGGTAGAATTGCATATATAGAGGATGTTCAGTGGTTTGCAATTGGATATGGAATTTTAATTCACGAAGTTTATTAAGTAACATTTTTGGAGAAACTTTGGAGTTTTAGTTTGTCAGGATGGTTTATTTATTCTCTCTATCTTTTAACAGGCCAGGGAGGTTTTTTTTTGTCTTTCACACTGTAACAAAGTATCATTTTGATATTCTTTCACTCTGTGACAAAAATATCGTTTTCATTAAATAAATGAATATCAGATTTCAATGATGAAAATGTGAAACATACATGTATCTGCTACTTGGTAATTTTTTTCCATTCAATAGATTTTACATGCTTCAGTTGTAAGTGAAAATTTAACAAAGTTACCCTTTCATCTTCGTTATAAAAATAAAGCAGATCTGAGTCCAGCTGTCCACATTCAGTGAAGGCCTCGCTATATTTCAGTTTTTGATTGCTAAATAGATAACAGGAACCATTGTATGTAACCCAGCCACTGCCTAAGGGACATGAGGGGTAACACAAAACACCTGAAAAGAGAGGTAAGTATGTAACCAAGGCACTCTTTAGTGGACAGAAGGGGCCTGAAAAGAGGGAAAAGTACAAGTATGTAACACAACTACTGCCGAGTAGACAGGAGGGGTAACCCAAAACGCCTGAAAAAAGGCATGTATTTTTGTACTGTTCAAATCAAAGTATGTTAGAGTAAAATTGAATAATTTTTTTCTTTGTTTATCTTTCTTTCTTTTGTTTTATTTATTTTATTTTATTATTATTATTTTTTTGATAGCACACCAATCTGATTAAAATCGGATCCTCGATCCGCTCCTTTGTTTTATTTTCTTGTCGCTACAAGGTAGCGACAACAAAATAAAACAGAGGAGTGGATCGAGGATCTGATGTTAATCAGATTGGACAGCAAATTAACAACTAAACTTTTTGATAACAGTGATGACTTTAACTTTTCGATCGTCAACTTACTTTATTCATGTAACAATATACCATTATCACCCACATATGGAGTTTATGTCTCCCAGTTAATTCGATGCACAAGAGCATGTTCTACGTACGAACAATTTCTTAAACGGGGCAGGCTATTGACAAATAGTTGATGAAACAAGGATATCAACAATCTCGTTTAAGGCTAGGCCTTTCAACTGCCGCTAGGGTTCGATGTTAAGAACGATAACTCATTACCGGAACTTGTTTAGAGCAGTTTCGAGGATCTGAGTATTTTTAAGCAAGTCAGTTTTTAGCGTTTTCCAAGTCTTTCTTTGCTGTCAGTAGAATCCAGTGGTTTTAAAATTTAGCACAAATGTGAAACTTATTTACCATGTAGTTACGGACACTGTTTAATTACATATAAGTAAAATTTTAAATTAAAATATAAAGTGAAATCTATCCCCTTCCAAATTTTAACCTGAGTAAATTTTTATACTTGGTCGTTCTTCTTCGTGCTTAGTAACACAAGTAAGATAATTAATTGTTACATTTACTTGTAGAAATATATATATTTATATAGGAAGCACAAAAATGCACACACAAAAAACATGACATTATATTTTTTTTTCATAACAATTGACAAAGAGAGTTAAAAATCTTGGATATAGTCCGTTCCCCATTCATTTGATCCCGTTATTTCAGGTAAAGTGAAGACATTCTCCTTCTTTTGGTCAACACTTTTGTGTACAAAACAATGTAAGGAACCCTTTTGTGTAAATAACAATACCAACTGAAGCAGCCTATATGTCATTCCTATAAACGATAACTCATAAATCGGCACTTAGTTGGTCAATTTCTACACTTGAGTTACCTGTCCTTAAAACACAACATCGTACAAGTCAATTATTAATAAATAAACTTTTTAATGATTTAATTTAATGTATGCATAAGTAATTATCTTTTTTGATAATTTTTTGTACCTATAAATCTATCTATGAAATGTTTTTTACCATATACGCAACTTGAAAAATTAGTTGAAAGGCCTATTTAAGGTCAACAATACCATGACTGTTTACAAATGAAAATTATTTTTAAACTGAATTATGAACGGATTTTTTCATACACTCGATCATGACAAGGAGCAAGCGGCAGATGTGACCAGTCGACAGCTAGGAGATGCTTACTCCTCCATGGCACCTGCCTGATCCCACCTCTGTTTTCAGAGGTCTTTGTTGGGTCTGCTCATGAATTGTATTGTTTAAATGAACTTTTGAGCATGATTACTGTTCATTATCGTCACATTTCATCAAGAAAAATAAAACGTACCAAACTCTTTGATATTGTAAAGGTTTGTAGTGGAAGTAAAACGTTGTATTGATAGTAAAAAGTAAATCGAAATTCGGTCTAAGAACAAGTCTTAGTATACTAGTACATGTACTTGGTCAGGCCCGTAGCAACGGTTTCAAAAGGAGGGGGGGGCACTTCCCAAAATTATCTGACAAGCAAAAAAACCTAATTTACAGTCCAAATCCTGGAATTTTCCAGTGCTCAACCTTACAACAACAAAAAAGAGTGTGTGTTGGGGGGGGGGGGGGGACCAGCATCTACAGGAAAATTTACTATAGCAAAATACTATCCTCAGAAAAAAGTGGGGAGCCCCCCCCCCCCCCCCCCGGGTTCCAAGGGCCTGTTATTCAAGTATCAAACTCAAAAAAAGAAATAAATCTGTAATATTGTTACAGTTTCATAGTTATGTTTTCTGAGTTAAGCTGTCAGGTTGATGCAGTTTTATTTTTCTTTGCCGGTGTAAAGACGAATAATGACCCCCGTAGAATAAAGACCGGGGGTCATTTTTCGACGGCGAAAAATGACTCCCGGTCATTATTCGACGTCGAAAAATGACCCCCGGTCATAATTCGACGTCGAAAAATGACCCTTTTGCCTGTAGAAAAAGTGGCAACACCCTTAAAATCTGCATACCCTACGTGAAGAAAAATGACCCCCGTAGAATAATGACCCCTAGTAGATTTTATTAGGAATATTTTTTTTTAAATCAAGAATTAATAAATCAAGAGGGCTCTAGATCAAAATGCTCACCTGAGGTAAATTGAAGATATAGCAACGATCTATTGTTCTCATCAAATTTTTCAAATGCCTTTCATGATAAATTGACAACTATAATCGACATCAATTATGTATACATTCTGTATAAATGCTTTCATTCTGGTTTGACTTATGTATCATTGTTTAAAAAAAATTCATATTTTCCCTTATACTATCCATGAGAGAGAGAGAATTGTTTACAATGTCTATCTACCGATTGATTAAGTTGCGTACGAATGCATTTTTTAAGCCAATGGTTTAAACAGTGTACATACATGAAATTTTCAGACATATAGCAAATGTGACTTACAATTTAAATGAGAAGAATTACTTGATATTTTAGAGACTTTTAAAGTCAACCCGTTTGTTAATTGGTCGAAACATGAAACAAATGATAAAAAGAATAAAGACTAAAATGTATGCTATTGCAAGCAATAGTACTAGTATAAGGGGCCGTTTTGGTATTTACCGCCATTAAGTGATATCACCTTTTCGAAAAGGTGATATCACTAATTCACTTGGTGATGTCACATATTCGAATTCTTGATATCACCTATTCAGCTTTTGAATTGGTGATATCCCCAATTCAAATTAAGTATGAAATAACAACTGCTCCCAAGATTATAGTACATACATTTACTTTATACAGGAAGTAAAAAAGTTCAGTTTCTTTTCATTTAGATAATTATAACAGAGAGAAAGTATCAATAAATATAGCAAAAATGACTGTAAGTGATTTTTATAACTTCACAGGGATTGAAAACAAGTGGAGTTATATTAAATGTCTTGGACTATAACACAGGGGAAAAGGGCAGCTCGAATTTGCTTAAGGTCAATAGAAATCTAGTTTTTCATATGCAAACCAAATTATTTATGGTCTTTTATGTGTACTTATACATTGTAACTTAAAAATCAGTGTCCCCTCTCCTCTTTTACCAAAAAAAAAATGATCTTACAGAGAATCTACAGTTTATTTGATCAATGCAATGCCGAAATAGTAGAGGTTATGGCCCAAATTAAGTATAAAAAGTCCGTAGAAACTTTATTATCTTTTTTAACAAGTTTGTGCAAGAGTAATAAAATCAATTTCAACAATTTTTAATTACTGCTAAGGTAATAAGATTGCTCTTTGAAAGCATTTTGGAAGTTCATCGTTTACTTTGCATTAAAGCTAGATTTTCTTGAGGAAGGAAGCATTCATTTTTTTAAAGCGACACGGTCAATGGATAAACAGGATTAACGGCACAAACGGGATTATTGACAAACATAGAATTTTTCTATGACCCGTGCAAATTTTGTTCAATTCCTGAAAGTATTAGGTTTCAGAAAATTACAGGTTTCAGAATCTAAAAAATCCACTTTTATGGAAAAAAAAAAATTTTTGTATGGTCCAACACGAAAATATTGCTTTATTTCTTCCTCCTTATGGTATGTGTGCGCAGAAAAGTTGAAGAAGTTATCATGGTCTCAAGTACCAAAATATGCTCATAATTTTCATAAATCTTTCGCTTTATGATACACATCTCTTAAAGGAAACAAATGATTTTGACTCATTATGTAACTTTAATGTGATAAGAAATGCAAATAGGTGATATCACCAAATCATATTGGTGATATCACCGATTCAAAATAAAAAGGTGATATCACCTTTTCGAATAGGTGATATCTCATATTGGAATTGATGATATCACCTTTTCAACTCAAATAGGTGATATCGCCTTTTCGAATAGATTTCCAATAGGTGATATCACCAATTCGAAAAAGTTATATCACCTATTCGAAAAAGTGATATAACTTTTTCGAATATAGTGATATCACCTATTCAAACTGAATGAGTTATATCACCGTTTCAAACAGGTAATATCACAAATTCGAATAGGTGATATCACTAAATAGCAATAAATACCAATGCGGTGCCTCTTACAATAGACATACACAATGATCCATACATATTGATTATTTAACTGCAGTTCTGTACCTGTGCACGTTAGTTCACTCGTTCGTGGTGAGAAAAAAAAAGTCCAATCGTTTCCACGGCGAAACAGTTTTAAGAATCTTAAATGTAAATGCATTTGTGAAGTTGCAAAAGATTTTACAAGTCAACCCTGAGAATATTAGACTTTTTTTGTCTGACAACGGTGGTCAGTTTTAAAAATCAAAATATATAATGAACATCTAGAGTTGCTGATCGTCACTTCTGAAACGATTCATTAAGTATCCAAAACATGTCCGAGAAAATGTTCGCACAAAATAATAGGTCTAGCGATTACAATATACCGTCCTGATTACCTTTAATCAATAGCCACTGTGACGTATCTATTGTCACAGTGCAATTTTAATTTTGAGATGAGAACACAATAGGTCTTATAAAACGAATGATTAGTAATGTTTTAAACAAATTGTAAATGCCTGTTCGCCCAGTGGTAATCAGAAAAACGCAAGAGAATTACTCGATGAGATCCAAATCTTCGCATCAATCATCTCTTCTGAACTTTGTATCACTCTGTTAGGATGGGGGTCATTTTTCAACGGGGGGTCAATTTCTTATAGGTTGCACATATTAAAAACGGACCCCTAGGGTTCTTTTTCTACAAAAAAAAAATAATTTTTTCTACGGCTAGGGGTCATTTTTTTATGACCCCCCGGTCATTATTCTACGGGGGTCATTATTCGTCTTTACACCTGCATTACTTTAGGGCTAAGATATACATGTATTTTAAAGCAAAGAATCTATTAAATGTAAAACTTGACAAGACGTACATCTAGAAACAAGCATAACAATGGGGGATAGTCTGTAAGTTACAATTTGTAGTGTGAGCATTGATATTATCTACATTAGATAACGATGTGATGAATCAATGAATACTCGTTAAATGTTTTATCTATTATCAATGATTAGATTGTTCTTTTCACCTCTGTTAAAATATACTCAGAAAATGATCAATCGTGCAATGACATGATTGCCTAGACATTTGAAACAAGAGTCATATATACATGTTTATACTAGTAAATAACACGTGATTTCATTTAACTATTTGGATTTCTTTCAAGTAATATTAAAAGTTTTTAAAAAAAAAATCCTTGGGAAAAATGAATATTAACTTACCTGTATACAGTAGAATTACAGTATATATCACAGATTTAATTAAATACAACATAATTAATGCTAAATTTGGTTATTGTTAATGACTCCAGAGGTACATCGTTAATCGTTTTATCAGTCATCATATCAGTTAATATTCAGGAGTGGATCTATTTTTTTTTCTCGCTCACGAAATAAATAGAGGTGCATCGTTTACCGTTTTATCAGTCATATCAGTAAAAATTCAGAAGTGAATCTAATTTTTTTTCTCGCTCGAGAAATGAATAGAGGTGCATCGTTTACCCTTTTATCAGTCAGCATATCAGTAATTAATATTCAGGAGTGGATCTATTTTTTTTTTTCGCTCGTGAATTAGAGGTGCATCGTTTACCGTTTTATCAGTCATATCAGTAAAAATTCAGGAGTGGATCTTTTTTTTTTCTCGCTCCTGAATAAAGCTAAATTTTACTTGAATTTTAAAAACAAGAAACAAAATGGAATAGAAATGTATATGGCGCAATTTTCTTATTCAAAGAATCATAATCAAATCAGGAACCTACATGTAAATGAATGAAATGCTCATTGATACCCCCCCCCCCTTCGGTGTTCCGTACCCCAAGGGTTCTTTGACTTTTTTTTTAATAAAATATTTTTCTATGACACATTCACAAAGCACAAAGTATTACGACTGAAAAATTCAAAATATAACCTAAAACTAGCCTTTTATAAAAATTCACACTCTCTGATACTAAAAGAGAACTTTTAGTATCAGAGAGTGTCAATTTTTATAAAAGGTTAGTTTTATGTGGATTTTTCAGTTGTAATACTTTGTGAATGTGTCATAGAAAACATTTTATTAAAAAAAAGCCAAAGAACCCTTGGGGTACGGAACACGGGGGGGGGGGGGGTCCCCAAGCACCTGTGGAGGAAACAAACATATACGTGTAATTTTTCATCTCTCGGATCAACATGTTATCCTAGCTAGTAATCTTCATAATAAACAATCATTTGGTGGAATTCTAAATAATGAAATTCGAAAAAAAAATTATCAAATGGGGAAAAGGGAAGTGAATATTTGGAAATGTCAAAAAAAAAGATCATCAGATCATCAGACACTATTCCCCCCCCCCCCCCCTATTTTTTTCAGACCTCACTTTTGTAGGTGGCACGAGTGGGGAGGAGGGTAAAGATTTTTCCTCATTAAAAAAATATACATATGTTTACATGTAGCACAGTGCCCATTTCCTTTCCTTGTGATGTATGTTTTGACTGACAATTTATGAATTTGATACCTTTTATTGATCAGATCATAGAAGCCTTAGAATAGAGCTAGGCAATACTAGGGCGAAATATCTTCCCATCTTCTCTACTTTCTAGCTTTTCAAGATACTATGCTTAGTTTACCTGAATGATCAATTCCTTTAAAAAACTATTAGAGGGTCCTGTGGTTTGTTGTGTAGATATGTCTCTGAAGATTCGGGTCTACAGCGTTTTACGTGTTATTAGTCAAAACGGTGAAGCACCCAGATGACTAAGATTGTAAATATGGCTGCGGTAAGTACACACGCGACTTTCTGTTTCAGTGTAAATCTGATATTGCTTATTATATTGTTGATATATATCTTCTAAAAATTACCATTAACTTTATTATGCTGTAAATGTATCTTTTTTGTATAGATTCAGTTCACCTTTCAGTGACTTTTTTTGGCTTTAAAATTTTCATCTTTTTTTTAAAAATAGAAAAAGTCAGGAAAACGTGGAGGTAAACGAAAAGGTTACAAAGCCAGCTCTGTCAAGTTATCCAATAAAAGAACATCTAAACTTGCCAAACAAGGAAAACTAAAACCAAAGAAAAAGAAAAAAGGATTGGCAGAACTTAACCAGCAGAGCGAGCGGGGGGATCATATTCAAGTAAACGGGAGAGGAAGCCTAGAAACAGAGGAAGAGAGTGATTTAGGTGAAGAAGATATAGAGTTTTATGGTACACCAGGAAATGCTTCAGGTTTTATAAATGCTGCAAAATCTAGGTATGTGCTGTATACATAAATTTTTACTAGAATGTTTCACGTTTATTTTACTTTTGCTTTAAATGTCTTAAGGTCAGCAGATTAAGGTACTTGTAAGGAGAGATACAAAATATTTGGTATTTTTTATAAAGTATTATTCATATAGGGAGCAGTTCAATTCATACAAGGACCTCAGAGACATCTTTTCACTTCTTTGTTTCGGATTTGGAATACCATAATGTTTAAAATGCCAGTTTTTCCCTAATTATTGATATCATAGTTTTTGTCATCACTAATCAGAAATATATGCAAGAAAAGTTCACCTGTAAATATTTTATGAGCATGTATCTGTACGTTTACCTTGTATGTGTATGATTATTCATTAGCTTCTTTTTCATACCACAGAACATTATCTACAGAGGTTGTAAAAAGTGGCAAGAAAAGAAAGAAGAAAGACACAAAAGAGGGAGATGAAGAAGAGCAGTATGAACAGAGACCTCGTAAACTGTTCGCTAACGATGAGAATGTCAAGTCACTGTTGCCCATAAAAACAAAGAAAGGGGTCGTACCACAAGTGACTCTTGTCAATCCAGAAGGTACTGGTTGATGAGTAATTGAAAGAGATAAATTTTAATCTTTTAATGATGACAATTCACATAATTAAAATCTGATTACTATTTTGTTACTAAGGTAAATGTTTCTGCAGTTTTAACATTATAATACTGCTGACTTATTTTATTTTAGTTGAATAGATTTTCAAATTCAGACATATTGTACTTAGATTTCAAATATTGTGAATAGTTTAAATTTTGAAATTAGTTTGTGAAGATGAACCTGCGGTTAAAGAGGAAGAAAATAATGATCCAGAAACAAGCCCAGCCGAGAAGGTGGAAAAGTTACCAGCCCTGACAAATGTAGAACTGTATGCTAACAGACAGGAAAAACTGAGGGCTCGGAAATCAAGAATAGCTGCCCTGGCAAGCTCCCTTATAGAAAACCCCGAGGAAAACGTATGTGAAGTGATCTTAGTCTCTTGTATTTTGAAAGGCCTTTAACAGCATTCTCAATGCTGGCTAATAGTTTATCTAAACATCTAATTACTCGAAAATAGTCATTATTAACCTATATTAAGTGTTGTGTTGTTTTGTGAGATGTAGTTAAAATCAAGAAATTTGTATTATCTGTATTCCAGATTAAAAAGCTGAAGGAGTTGAGATCATACATCATGGAGAGTGATCCAGATGTGTTTTTGACTGTGCGTAAACTTGCCATGGTATCAATGATGGAGGTTTTTAAAGACATCATACCTGGCTATAGGATTAGACTGCCTACAGAAGCTGAAAAAACACAGAAGGTATCTTTGTTTTATTGTTATTTATAATTAATTTGAAAGGAAGTTTGGGAATGTACTTTTTTTCCAAAGGATCAAAATTCTGAGGGATCAGAATTTCTGTTCAATACATGGGTAGAAAACTATGCAGATTTCTTTCATTGCTTCTTTAGGTCTTAAATGCACTTTAAGTACGATGTGACATATTTCCGTAGCGTAAATTAATTCCATGCAGAAAAAAGTATGTCTACAGTATATCAGAAGCTAATATGTGGAAAAAAAATTATTTGGGGATCAATAAAAGAGAATAACCGCAGGAAGAAAACATGATGAATCAACAGTAGGAGAAATGTTGATTTTTATGACAAATCTGTTATATTTGATATTGTATATGAATCTACAAATTGATTATACAGAGAAGTAAATGTAAAATCTACCATTTTGTTGATTATTTTCTTGCAGCTAAAGAAAGAAACAAAGCAGATTCGAGACTTTGAAGAAACTTTTCTATTGAATTATAAAAAATATTTAGAGTTTTTGGAAATGACTTGTAAAGGTATGTACATGTACATAAAGTATGAATTTATCTAATATAAATTGGAAATATAAAGGATTGATGAAGGGTCAGTTATTTGAAAATAATACAATTATTGAGTCTATTCATAAAATGAATTTTGTACATTTTCTATTATTTGTTTTAAACTGACAGGCTTGTTAGGTAGCTAGGCCTTATTTATTAGCTAAATAAGTCCCAAAAAAAGTCTTGTTTCCTGCTACCAGCCTGAAAAAAATAGGGTAGGTAGGTAAGAAAATAATTTTATTTTATTTTTTTATTTTATTTTTTCCGATGGCATTTTTTGGATATGAACTAATGCAAGATCAAATTATACACGTCACAGGTCAGTATTGTCTTTTAAAATTAAATTTCATGTTTTTGATGCACAACTCATTAAGTGGTGTTTTATGAAAATCCATATTTAAAACAAAGAATTTCATGAAATGCTTTTTTTGTGTTAACACGGAAATCAATTACAGTGACAGAACGATGAAATTCCAGAAATTCCCAATTTTTTTTCTTCCAAAACTAAAAAAATCTTTAGGGTTGGGCACAAAAAATGGGGTTGGTCGGGTAGGGTAAGTCGGGGTAATTTCGACCACCGTTTAATTTCGACCACAGGAAAACAACACTACACAAAGATCTACGGAAGTGTTGAGACAAGTTTAATTTATTCGGAATTGTAGAAAACTATTCTTCAAATTGTGTGTCCTAGTGTAATTATTCATCGCAAATATGGCTTGATCAGTGATATAAAAAATATTTTTACTATTATTTATGTCTCCAGTTTGACGTCCGAAACCCCGTCTTCAGTGCGCTTGATTTGATCAAGGAAATGCAAGAGAGACAACTCGTACAACCTCTCTTTAAGTTTAACCTTGTTCAACAGTCTACAGCACGAATTAAATTAAAATTGTTTTATTTTTTCTTGGAATATCTTTAAGTTGCAGAATTTTACCAATTCATCTTGGATTTCTCTCAAAATGCACAAGAAACGTCCATTTGATTTTGGTCGAAATTACCCCTACTGATTTTAAGGACGCGGGGTAAATTCGACCACTTTTTCTGAAATATGTGTAAGTTGTCTTTAACAGCCGTTTAATGCAATGCAGAGTTAGATCTTCCAAAAAAAAAAATGATTATACTGTATTTGTAAAATATTATCTACATATAACCTTTTATTAAAAAAAATATGTCAGATTAATTAACATATACATGCCTAGCTTTATAATTATATTTTGCGGGCCGTTCACAAGAGTGCATCACTGATCGACGTGCGAGAGAACACGGAGTCGGCACTGGCTATGAAATAACACATGACGAGAGCAATCCAAGTTTCCGAACCCGTCAAATTAACAAAAAAGAGAATGCAGGCAATATTAAATGTATGTAAAAAAAAAAATCAGGTTTTTGTAATTTTTTTTTCATTATTACGAATGCCTAAACTTTGACGGATAAGACTGAGGCTATCGAAAACCAACGAACCGGTCGTATTAAGATCGTATCACACAGTCCAGGTACACAAATCCAAATAGTACCCAAAATAGCAGAACAACACACCAAAAAAACCACAACAATCTTGAAACAAAAAAAAAAAAAAAAAAAAAAAAAAAAAAAAAAAAAAACTATGATGTTTCACGTTATTAATGATTTGTTTGAGTTTTTTTTTCCGGGGGGGGGGGGGGGGATTTCAGAGGACTTTGCTTCTGTAAATCTTTATTTAATTGACTTGATCGAATTTTTCAGGACCTATCTCTTTTTAGAATTAAAAAACACGTAAAATACGTAATACAACGCATTCCAAATGAATGTGTAGATGGTAAATATTAGTGAAGAAAAATATACGCAATTCTAATGCTATGCTCAAACCTTATACATATATATACAATCTGAATGATTCTGTTGTGAAAAGACGGTATTAAAAAAAATCTCTTTTGGGTTGGACATATTAAAAATCATATCAAAGAAATTATTTGTGGAATCTGAGAAGATTTTATCTATTTGCATAACTATATATATCACAATTTTAAAATATAGAGTTCGCGAATTAAAAGCAGAATTTAGAATAAAGAATAAGAATTTAGATGTCCATAAGACAGCACTGAAAAGCTTAAGTAACCCAACCCATTTCTTTACTGTATGGATACTAGTACTTATCCATTTTAATCTTTTTATTGATAGAGATAGATACACGTATTTTCTAAATAAGGCAATATAGTTTCTCGGACCATAAATTTTGAATAAAATGCGACAGGTACAGTTTACTTGCATTGCAAGAGTTATCTTTCTTTTTGATGTTTGTTGTGGTCGAAATTACCCCGAGGCCGGTCGAAATTAACCCATGCAACATGCTTACTTATTTTTTAACCAATTTATAATTTTTTATGCATTTTTAACTCCTAAAGCAGAAAAATATGAAGAAAAAATCAATCTCAATTACTTTGAATCTTTTTTAAACTAGTACATTTGAAAACAGTCTTGTTTTGTGGATTGAAAGCCACAAATCAGCAAAAGTGGTCGAAATTACCCCACTCTACCCTAGCAGGAAACAAGACTATTATCATGATTATTTTTTGGCCTAAATTAAAAATTATTTGACTCATATAAGTGGATATAATACTTATTTTCATTTAAAAGGAGAATTGGAAATAGTAGCATATAAAACAATCTTGAATATGCAATGCCTTTTCATATATAAGAACATTTCCACAGCTATATCTGTGTTGTAGGAAAACTTGTAGAAAACAAGGATAAAAAATACTCTAGGGGAGGAGCTGAACTGAAACTCTCCTCATCAGCCTCCCAGGTGAGTGAAGTCTATTGAGACCTCAAAATTCAATGTTGTTGTAAATTGGAATTCAGTTTTTTGCCTCTTGTGGGAGTGGAAGTCTCATGAGAAACTGAATCAGATCTCTCTCTGATGAAGAAAACGAAAACTAGTGACAAAGTTAATGCCAGAATTCCCAGAATGTGTGATTTTATTTCTATACACTGTATATATAGTAACAGTACTAATAATTGACATCTTTTTAAGTTTTAGTTAACCTGAGCCAAAGATCATATTACAAAACAAAACATCCTCACGTACCGGTAGTAAAGATTTAAGTTTGTTTAAAATCATGGCTACTGGGGTCACAGTAGGGGAAGGGGAGTTCAATGTTTGACATTGGAATATGTAGGAAAAGATGAAAAAAATCTTCACAGGAAAACAGGTGCTAGTTAGCCACATTGATATGCATGTAATGTATCCCCTTGTAGTTTATGTTCTTCTTTGTTCAAATCATGGTTCCCAATGACAAGTTTACTCCCAGATTTTTTTTTTGTCAGACCCTGTCGGTGCTGGCTGTGAAGTGTTTGTGTGAATTACTGAAGACACAACCTCACTTTAACTACAGGAACAACATCATCACTGTATTGATCCCTCTAATGAACCGGGGAAATAGAGAGGTGAGTCTAATGGTTCAACATCATCACTGTATTGGTCCCTCTAATGAACTGGGGAAACAGAGAGGTAAGTCTAATGGTTCACCATCATCACTGTACTGGTCATTCTAATGAACCGGGGAAATAGAGAGGTAAGTCTAATGGTTCAACATCATCACTGTATTGGTCCTTCTAATGAACTGGGGAAACAGAGAGGTAAGTCTAATGGTTCAACATCATCACTGTACTGGTCATTCTAATGAACCGGAGAAATAGAGAGGTAAGTCTAATGGTTCAACATCATCACTGTACTGGTCCCTCTAATGAGCGGGGGAAACAGAGAGGTAAGTCTAATGGTTCAACATCATCACTGTACTGGTCCCTCTAATGAACCGGGGAAATAGAGAGGTAAGTCTAATGGTTCAACATCATCACTGTACTGGTCCCTCTAATGAACCGGGGAAACAGAGAGGTAAGTCTAATGGTTCAACATCATCACTGTACTGGTCCCTCTAATGAACCGGGGAAATAGAGAGGTAAGTCTAATGGTTCAACATCATCACTGTATTGGTCCCTCTAATGAACCGAGAAAAATAGAGAGGTGAGTCTAATGGTTCAACATCATCACTGTACTGGTCCCCCTAATGAACCGAGGCAATAGAGAGGTAAGTCTAATGGTTCACCATCATCACTGTACTGGTCCCTCTAATGGACTGGGGAAATAGAGAGGTAAGTCTAATGGTTCAACATCATCACTGTATTGGTCCCTCTAATGAACCGGGGAAACAGAGAGGTAAGTCTAATGGTTCACCATCATCACTGTACTGGTCCCTCTAATGAACCGGAGAAATAGAGAGGTAAGTCTAATGGTTCAACATCATCACTGTACTGGTCCCTCTAATTAACCGGGGAAATAGAGAGGTAAGTCTAATGGTTCAACATCATCACTGTACTGGTCCCTCTAATGAACCGGAGAAATAGAGAGGTAAGTCTAATGGTTCAACATCATCACTGTACTGGTCCCTCTAATTAACCAGGGAAAAAGAGAGGTAAGTCTAATGGTTCAACATCATCACTGTACTGGTCCCTCTAATGAACCGGGGAAACAGAGAGGTAAGTCTAATGGTTCAACATCATCACTGTATTGGTCCCTCTAATGAACCGGGGAAACAGAGAGGTAAGTCTAATGGTTCACCATCATCACTGTACTGGTCCCTCTAATGAACCGGAGAAATAGAGAGGTAAGTCTAATGGTTCAACATCATCACTGTACTGGTCCCTCTAATTAACCGGGGAAATAGAGAGGTAAGTCTAATGGTTCAACATCATCACTGTACTGGTCCCTCTAATGAACCGGAGAAATAGAGAGGTAAGTCTAATGGTTCAACATCATCACTGTACTGGTCCCTCTAATTAACCAGGGAAAAAGAGAGGTAAGTCTAATGGTTCAACATCATCACTGTACTGGTCCCTCTAATGAACCGGGGAAACAGAGAGGTAAGTCTAATGGTTCAACATCATCACTGTACTGGTCCCTCTAATGAACCGGGGAAACAGAGAGGTAAGTCTAATGGTTCAACATCATCACTGTACTGGTCCCTCTAATTAACCGGGGAAACAGAGAGGTAAGTCTAATGGTTCAACATCATCACTGTACTGGTCCCTCTAATGAACCGGGGCAATAGAGAGGTAAGTCTAATGGTTCAACATCATCACTGTACTGGTCCCTCTAATTAACCGGGGAAACAGAGAGGACAGTTTAATGGCTCACAGAAATAACAATGTTGTAGTACAAATAGTGATAACAATGTTGTAGTGCAAATAGTGATAACAATGTTGTAGTACAAATAGTGATAGTCCTTAAAATCTTGAACAATGTTGTGATATGGCAACATTCATGAAAAAATAGTTCATTGATATTCAGCAAATATTTGTGGATAGTCATGTATTCTAATTCATACAGACTGGTACATGTAGAATTTAATCTTTTTTTTGGTGAATTCTAGGTCAGCGGTATTGTTTGTGAGACTGTACAAGAGGCATTTAGAGGTGACAAATCAGGGGAATTATCATTAGAGGTATATAGACTAAATCAGACCCAGAGTCTCTTTAGAAAATGCTTAGTTTTTTTATAATTTCCCATAATATAAAAGAAGTATGAAAAACTGTAAACTTAAAAGTTTTGTAAATAATTCAAACCTGTGATCAAGTAGTGGAAATAGTTTCCTTATGATGTAATATTTTCAGTATCTTTTTTTAGATAATAAAATGCATCAGTAGAATGGTCAAGGCTAGGGAGTTCAAGGTCAAAAAGGAGGTAAGTAAAATATTGTAAACATATCACATCTGTATGTGTATTCTATTTAGCAGCTTTGTGGAAAAGAGCTTCCACTAAATCAAGTATATCCCTAAATGTCTTGCATATATATACATGAATTCATACATACACAATTGCGCTAAACAAAATCAATGCTAACTTGTTGAAAAATCAATTTCTGCCAAATATCAAAAGTGCTAGATAAAATACATTTACAGTATAAACAGTATATTTTCTTTGTCCTTTTGTATTAAGTACATGGGACATTATGTTACTCTGCTCTTTCTACAGGTGCTGGACACTTTCTTAAGTCTGAAGATAAAAGAGGTGGATTACGAGGGTGACTCAGTGAAAAAGGACGGGAAAACCAGGAAAGAAATGATGAAGAAACTGTCAAGGAGAGAACGAAAAGTGAGGACGAAACTGAAAAAAATTGCAACAATTTTTAGTGCATCAGATGGTAGTCATATGATTACAAATAAATAAACTGAATGAGAATATTGCCCCCCCCCCCCCAATACAAACAGTTACAATAATTTCTGTTGCACTATTATTATAAAGTTGAAAATTGGCAAGCACCATAATCAACATTTTTTGAATACTACAAAGAAAGTTTTATAAAATATCTCTATAAATAAAATTTTCTCTCTCACTTAAATGGATCTTAATTAATAGTTGTCAGCACATTATCTACAGGGTTTTGAAATTGTGCAGGAATTGTACTTCTTTTCTTTTGAGTTTTAAAATTTTGTGAAATTTGACAAAAAAATTGAAATTCAGTCAGAAACAGAAGTACATGTACCTATCTCACACATTTTAGAGTCATCGCAGAAATAATTCTTTAAATAGACTATTTTCCAACCCCAATCATTATCCAACTTCTAGAGCAGTTCAAAGGTGGTCTCCTTTTATGGCTTCCAGGTCACTTTGTAGTTTGTTGTCTTTCATTAAATGACCAGTTCAGCCATCCTTGAACTTCTGTAGCTAAGTATGAACCAGTGTCTGAGATACGTTGGCGTCGTTCCATCATTTCCTTCTCTTTTTCTGTATGGACAGGAGTCGTTTCCTGCTTAAAATGGTACAGAATGATAATGTGGTGTGCCACATTATCACCCAATGTCACCATTTTTGGCAATATCGGACAGAAAGCTTTTGTGCATATAACGACGTACAATTGCCATTTATGATGTCGGATTAAAGAATTTCACACATTAGTTCCCAAGACCATAGATTTTTTTTTTAGCAGTATTTGCATTAAATCCTCAGGCTTAAGAGGAAAAAACACACTTTCATTGAAATAAACAGCAGATAAGGAAATATAAGCTACAAGTTTGGACTTATGTGTACTCAGACATTTACATGTAAGTGGATACATGTAGAAATTCATCGATAGCAAAACTGATGATGTAATGCACAGATTTCCAGGGGGAATCCCCTGATATATACGTTGGTTTGCAAAATCTCTCTATTATGTCAAAGTAACAAAAATACCATTTCCCAATTGTGCAAAATATGAATAATTTTGGTCAGGTACTTCATGAAATACATGTTTTTGAAAAGTTTGTGTTTTTCTGGGACAACCCTTGTTAGTAACTTTTGATTTTTGTGAAAATTGAGTAGAATGTTTTCATACTCTTTGATGATTTAATTTAAAATATGTTTCATATTCATATAAGTTTTAATTGAAAAGTTAAAACAGGAGACAGATGCTTGCATATAAAACTTGAAATTTAGAATATAAGAATATGTGAAGTATTTTACATTTTGAAAAAATAAGAAACGAAGAACATAACTTTCATTATCCTACTGCTCTTCCAAAAGAAAAAAAATACACGAACTATAACCCCCTTCCCCTTTCAAAAATAAAAAAATAAAAATAAAAAATACCAAAAATATGATGATTCACCAATAGCATAGTGATATTTTATGCAATATTCCAATTGATTTAAGTAGTTTCCAGTAATTTATGTCAAAATTTTTAGAAATCACAAACAAAGAGTCAAAGTACATCCATTTGTTGAAATAAGGGTACATCAACTATACACTTAATTTTGTTGCAGAAAAAGAAGAAGATGGAACTACTAGAGCATGAACTATTAGAGACAAGGGCATCAGAAGATAAAAATAGGAAAATTAAAATGGTACCAGTTTCTCCTTACTCTATGTAAAGTACTTTATTTAACATTTAAACTGAGTTGTGTGACGAATCAGATAAATAAAAAAAACAATGATATTTTATCCCTCCACCGTATGTTTCCTTAACATATATAGCATAACATCGGTGATTGCAAATAATTGAAAAAATAACAAAACACTAGTGTTTAATTCTGAATCTGCTTGAAATTAAAGTTATCTCAAAGATGTTCATCATTTTCAAAACTTTTGATAATTAGATTCAACTACAGCTATGTTCTTGGGATGAATTTAGATTTTTGAATTCTGTTCTTTTTTGTAGCACACAGAGATAATTCAGACTGTCTTTCATACTTACTTCCGAGTGTTAAAGAGTCTAGAGAAGTCCAGTCTTCTACCTTCTGTACTGGAGGGGCTAGCCAAGTAAGCAGATCTGTTTATAGCTGTATAAAACCTGCCTTACATATAAGATTTTCTGCCAGTTCTTACACAAGAGTTATAAATATAATCTTACATGAGAGTTATAAATGTAATTTTACACTTGAGTTATAAATGTAATCTTATAGAGAGTCATAAGTGTAATTCTTATATGAGAGTTATAAATGTAATTCTTGCACGAGAGTTATAAATGGAATCTTACACGATAGTTATAAATGTAATCTTACACGAGAGTTATAAATGTAATTCTAACAGGAGAGTTATAAATGTAATCTTACACAAGAGTTATAAATGTAATTCTTACATGAGTTATAAATGTAATCTTACAAAAGAGTTATAAATGTTATTCTTACAAAAGAGTTATGAATGTAATTCTTACACAAGAGGTATGAATGTAATTCTTACACAAGAGGTATGAATGTAATTCTTACGTGAGAGTTATGAATGTAATATTACATGAGAGTTATGAATGTAATTTTACACTAGGGCCATTCCAAATTTTTTTTATGTTTAGCGTCCGTGTGCGCCTAGGTTTTTGACACTCAGTATCAGAAAAAAAACAAACAAAATCAGGAGTCCTGAAACTGATTATTTTGGTCAAATCTTTGAATTCAGTTAATTTCTCTAAATATTTGTCTACAATATGTCATGTTAGGTAAAATTTAAGCCTTTAATATCCTGATTTTGCTTAAGAATGTATCTAACTATGAGAAAAATAGATTAATGAAATCAAATCCTTTGATTGACCTCATTTTTATGATTATAGATTCTTTATTTTATTTCATTTTTTTATTTTTATTTTATTTTTTTTTGTTTGTGTGTTTTTTGTGAATAGGTACATGTAGGTAGGTTTTTGAAAGATGGGTGGACACTAAACAGAGAAAAAACTTGGAATGGCCTAGAGTTATAAATGTAATTCTTACAAGAGAGTTATAAATGTAATCCTTACACGAGAGTTATAAATTAATTTTTACACAAGAGTTATGAATGTAATTCTTACACAAGAGTTATAAATGTAATTCTTACTTTATAATTACAGGTTTGCTCATCTGATCAATGTGGATTTCTTTGATGATTTGTTTAATGTCTTCAATACCTTGATAGACTCAGGGGTATGTTAATACACTGGGACATATATCATGGCTCACATGATTAGAGAATGTTCATGCTTTGTTTGAGTAAAGACATCAAAAGTTTCCGAGTCTTTGACATACTGTTATTTTCTATCCTAGTTACCTGTATCATCATTTAAAACAGTCACTTTTGAAAGGTCATTCTAATTTCTAAATAAGTCTATTTTACATGAATCATTAGAGAATTCCCTGCACCTGTTAATGTATTCCCCTTGTATGTGTTTATGTCCAGAATCTGGGCTACAGAGAGTCCCTCCACTATATCAAGACGGCCTTCACTATTCTGATGGGTCAAGGTGATGTCCTCAATATTGACCCTATGAGGTTTTACACCCACCTGTACAACACCATGCTGAAAGTGAACGCAGGTCAGTCATTTACAGTTCCACAATCAGCAAAGTTTTTATAAAGTATCTGTGAAAACAAGAGTAAGGAATAAAACAATTATGTTTATGACATTGTTTTGATAAATGAAGATGAGAATTTTGAATAAAAAATTCCATTTAATAACTCTTTGAATAGTTTTGAATGTAATTTTTCAGGTGTGTCTAGTGATGATGCTTCGCTAGTTTTGGAGTGTGTAGAGTGCATGTTGGGAAGAAGGAAAAGACAGGTAGTGCATGTTAGGCACACTAAGCAGATATTGACTGCAAGTTAATCTTTGTAAAATTTTACACAAAAGGAACACCTTCATAACAATTATTTTTATTTGATTTTCTCTCTTTGTAGATTTCCCAGCAGAGAGTGCTTGCCTTCATTAAGAGGATCTGTACATTGGGTCTCCAGCAGGAGGGACACAGCTGTCTTGCCATGTTAGCTGCCCTCAGGGGATTCGTAGTGGTCAGTTTCATTCACACAAAAGACTTCAATTAATTTTGATTTTTAATTTGCAGTCAAGAAATTGAAAATATGCAAAAGAAAGACATAAAACTTTTGTACTGTCATGTGATTTATGTTGTAGAATTATCGATCTAGTGAGCTTCTGTACGATAATGAGACACAAGGTAGCGGCGTCTTCCTACCAGAGTTATCTCACCCGGAGCACAGTAATGCACACAACACTATGTTATGGGAGATAACTCTAATGAAGGTAATTCATCTGATTTTATAATTATGCCCATAGCTTATCTGCTTTATCAATATGAAGAAGTATTTCATATTTTCTGAGAAGCTGTTAATAAATATGTATACAAACAATCAATACATAAATTTTATGTTTATGCCTTGCAACTTTGTTAAACATGTTTGAACATTTTAACTTTGAAACAAATATGTTTCTGGAAAATAAAAGATGTAAATGAGTTGTGCAATGCATGGAACATGTCATTATCCAGCTTATCTATTTTACAGCATCACTACCACCCTACTGTCAGACAATTTGCTACACATCTGTCGAAAATGGCCCCAACCTCTGGTGAAGGTCAGCTTCCTGTAGATCTGATACGTAGGTAAGTACAGGTGTTATAAGCTTCCTGTAGATCTGATACGTAGGTAAGTACAGGTATTATAAGCTTCTGTAAGCATGTATAGGTAGATAGGTGAACACTGTATATACAGTTGTTTTTCATTTCATGGTATGTACAGGTGTTATACATCTCCTAGTATGTAGTACAGGTGTTATACATCTCCTGGTATGTACAGGTGTTATGCATCTCCTAGTATGTACAGGTGTTATACATCTCCTGGTATGTACAGGTGTAATGCATCTCCTAGTATGTACAGGTATTAGGTACAGGTATTATACATCTCCTAGTATGTACAGGTGTTATACATCCCCTAGTATGTACAGGTGTTATACATCTAGTATGTACAGGTGTTATACATGTCCTAGTATATACAGGTGTTATACATCTCCTAGTATGTACAGGTGTTATACATCTCCTGGTATGTACAGGTGTTATACATCTCCTAGTATGTACAGGTGTTATTCATCTCCTAGTATGTACAGGTATTATACATCTAGTATGTACAGGTGTTATACATCTAGTTGTTATGCATCTCCTAGTATGTACAGGTGTTATACATCTTCGGGATATGTACAGGTGTTATGCATCTCCTAGTATGTACAGGTGTTATACATCTCCTGGTATGTACAGGTGTTATGCATCTCCTAGTATGTACAGGTGTTATACATCTCCTAGTATGTACAGGTGTTACAGATCTCCTGGTATGTACAGGTGTTATGCATCTCCTAGTATTTACAGGTGTTATACATCTAGTATGTACATGTGTTATACATCTCCTAGTATGTACAGGTGTCATACATCTCCTAGTATGTACAGGTGTTATATATCTCCTAGTATGTACAGGTGTTATACATCTCCTAGTATGTACAGGTGTTATACATCTCCTGGTATGTACAGGTGCTATGCATCTCCTGGTATGTACAGGTGTTATGCATCTCCTAGTATGTACAGGTGTTATACATCTCCTAGTATGTACAGGTGTTATACATCTCCTGGTATGTACAGGTGTTATGCATCTCCTGGTATGTAAAGGTGTTATACATCTCCTGGTATGTACAGGTGTTATGCATCTCCTGGTATGTACAGGTGTTATGCATCTCATGTTAGAAAGAATTTAACAGTAGAAAATTTGGCATTTAACAAGGAAAAGATGGAGAGATTATGAAATTGAGATAGAGTTTAAAGAAAAGCTGTCTTTCTAAATTCTCCAAGATGTAGCATTTAGATATTTTATATTGAGATTATAATTGCAGTTCTGTTTTAATTCAAGGGACCCAAAAGACTTTTTAAAAGAATACAATCCAACAGAGATTTTCTTTGGGATTAAAATCCCAGAAAAATGTTCAACAAAAAAGAAGTTTTCTAAGGTAAATGTTTTATCTACTGTAAACAACTTTTTATTCATCAGAACTTTAGTTTCATGTAATTTCACAATTCTGTCTGCATGGGAAAGTTTCATTTTTTTCTTGGAGGTAAATAGCAGGTACCCTATATTGAAAATGATTGAAAAAGATAAACTGGTATTTACACCTTTATACAATGTAATTTTCTTAAATGTACAAAACTCTCGTCTTTTTATATCAAATATAAAAAGCACAACATACATACTTCTTGCTTATCTTAAAACATTCTACTCAAATTACAACATGGTAAAATCCTAATTACATGTAATAGTAATAAAATGATTAAGTAATTATTTAGTGCTTTCTGATTGTGCTAGATATAAGTATATGCATACATGTACAAAACATTTAGCAATGTAGTTGATTTAGTGGTAGCTGCCTTCCACAAAAGGCACTAAATAGAATACACCTCCTAATGTAATACGTTTACAGTATTAATTGTAAACTGTTTATGAATCCATGTAGTTCCAATTATTCCAGATTCATTAGATCAAAAAAGCTAGGAAGAAAAATAATTGTTTCTTTACTCATAAAATATTCATTTTCAGCTCTCAAGTAAATGGGTATACTGAAAAAAAAAAAAATTTATTATGGTAATTATTAGGGCCCCGCAAGGATTTGCGGGTGCCCTATAGTAATCACTCTGTCTGTCTGTCCGTCTGTCTGTCCGTCTGTCATTCTTCCGTCCACAAATTTTCTGTTTTTTTCGAATAACTTTTTTTGCAGTTGACCAATTAAGTTCAAATTTGGTATGTTGGTTGAAGAGGCAGTAAGACATATTTTGATGCTAAGTTTGGTTCTCTATGTCATCCAGTTTGGAGCTGGGGTGGTGGGGTAGTTTCCTTAACTTTACATTAGAATGAATGCCAGGGCAAAGAGAGATAACTGCTGAGAATGTTCCAATTGTTAACTATGAAAGCCGCAACTAGTCCCATGGGATTAATTAACTTTCCTCTTGAAGAAAATCCAAAGCATTATCTGTGTTTGTCAAATTGAGATTAATTAACACCTCTGTCTGCAAATGAAGTTTGTTTTGAAGTTAAGGTCAATTCTGAATGATGTTTACATTCTCTGAAATGTGGATTTAAATAATGTTCATACTTTATATTGGTAAAATATACAATTAGTTATGATTTTATTGAATTTTAAAAACAAGATATACATAAAGATGTTTTTTTTTTTAATTTTTTTTTTTTTATTTATTTTATTTATTTATTGATTTTTTTTTTTTTTTGGTTGCCGTATGTAAATTCAAGAATATTATTAATTTTAACGGGTAGTCCAATAATAAACTCATTCTATCATTACTGAAAGAGTTCTTATTGTAAACTTGGAAGAAAAGGATAAGAGAGCAGTACAATGAATCCCTTGGGATTAATTATCTTGTCTTGGGCAGAAAATTTTCCAGGCTTATCTTTATTTGTCACTTTAAGATAAATTAACCTTTGTCTGCAACTGATGTTTGTTTTGAAGTTAAGGTCAGGCCAGGGTGATATTTGAAAACACATGCTTTATTCTTGTTTGAATATACATTTAATTGAGTTATTATAGATATGTTTTTTACTGCCTTATGTAAATACAGGGATACTCTTTACAGGTTGTTGGATATTTAGGAATTATCTTGAAATTTTATAAATACAGTTGTTATTGCATATTCTTCTTCATATATTTTTAAATTTTTGTAATCAATTAAAATTCTCACTCTGTAAGCTGCACTCTTATATTTCTACCCCTCGGCAGGGCCCTTGCTTACTGATCAGTTTTCTAGTTTAATGATGTTTACCATCCTGTCAGTCCTTATGTAAAGATTAGTCAATAGAAAAAAAATCTGACAAACTTGAAGATAATGTTCATAACATGTTTATTTAATGTATCTCAAATCATGTTTTAGTCTGGATCAGAGTTCATACAACCAGAGGTTGGAGAAATTGTTACAAATGTGTTACAAAAAATGGACAGTAGATCAGCAAAATCTGACAGTTCACAAGACAACAATGTAACATAATACAGCAAAATAAATAAATAAATAAAGCATAGAATTTTTTTTTACCTGAATTATTGTGTTACTGTTTGTGTTAAACTTTGTATTATGCTAATACAAAATGATGATGCACATTACATCGAAATAATTCATAAGACTGGATGCGCATTTAGAATTTGTTGAATTAACAATAAAATGATAAGGGAAAAGTATTGTATATTAAATATTCCGTTTTGCAAGCTTCTATAATGGGTCCTTTGAAAGGCAGGATTAGACTAAGAAGCTTTGTCCTTATGATGTCTATTTTAAACATGGGGGACATAAAAACTCATGTATACAGTTCGTATTAATCATTTTTTTGTAGGACTGTATCATCATTCTTTGATGATGTCAGTGAATTCAAAGAGATCCACATTTACTGTAAACCAACTTTTATTCTTGACAAAGTGATAGAATAGTAGAGTGTTATAACAAGACGTTAGTAACAATGTTCAGAGCTTGCATAAACAACCATCATTCTGATTGGGACAAATATTTACCATTTGTAATGATAGCTTACCAGGCTTCTGTTCATGAAACAACTGGCTACACTCCCAGTTACCTGATGCTGGGAAGAGAAGTACATGTATCAACACCGCTTGACATCATGTTAGAGATGCCAAGATCAGTACAGCACATTCCTAAAGACAAGTGGGCCTGGAAAATAAGAGAAACCATGGAAAGTGTACACAAGCATGTCAGAGAGAATTTAAAAACAGCAATGGTTAAGCAGAAGAAGTATCACGAACCAAAGTTGTCATGGCAGAAATTTGAACTAGATTGCCTGTGTGTTCTTTCCAATATTGGGAAGGCAGGCTGCTTGCCAAAATCCACAAGCTACTGGCAGGGTCCTTACAAGAAGTTAAAAATGACAGATCTTACCCACGAAGTTGATTGTGGACGTAATGGAAAGCCACATATCATATCTACAGAATGCATCATGGGTACCCTCAAACTTTGCAAGACGAGATACCTAATGATGAGAGAACAGAACCAGAGGAAGACCTTGAACCTCCAAGTAACAAGGCAAATATAGAAGGCAAGTCAAATTATCATTCTGATAATGACAACGTCCCTGTTAGATGCAAGAAAAGATCACAGTAGATTGAGGACTACGTCTTGTACTAGACAAATGCCACAAACTGTCAGGTGTTACACAGTATTGTACATATGTATATATTGTAAATACAAAATCATATGCGGGACGCATATAATCTTGAGGGGGAGGGTAATGAAACAGAAATGATTTTGTCATTTCGTCAAAAGCCTTGGACATACGTTCTATCTATTTTCTTTAACACTACAAATTATAAATTCTATGATCATTTAAACAGGTTTGGATTTGCCAAGGTACAGAGACTGCACTACGATAATACACAACGTATTATTGTCCTCAAGATACTCTCTGGTAACGGAGTTGGTAAACCTTGGCCGTGTATACTCCTACATATTGTTATAAGACTTGAATAAGGCAAACGGACAGCTGAAATTTTAAGTATTAGCCAAGTACGTAAGACCTGATTGAGGCAACTTATTGGTTTGAGAGAGGGTGGGGGAAGTGACAGGAGTTACCAGTACCTGTGAAGTGGCAGGACAAGGGAAATTTGTTTACGGGAGGTAGCCGTTAACCACATTTGGGGGTTGTCCAATGAAGAAGAAACTTGTGATAGCTGTGAACTTATATATTATATAGTGGTCAACAAATACCTGAGTTAACAGGTTAATCATCTATGAGTATAACACCTCGGTGATGCAAGACATCATACACCAGCTCGATGTTGCAGGTTACAAAAGTTGGTTTTCAGTACTCTATAATCATTTGAAATTGTTTTGGAGCCATTACAGGAGACGGCATGTTGATATGTCTCTGAATTTTAATTGAGCAAGATTTGCGGGGACAAAGTGGACTGAAGTTTCTGATGATTATCCTTTTTTCCTATAGAAGAAGTGACCACAGGAACTTAGTTTTGTGAATGACACAACTTGAAACATTGTCTGGTCCCTTACATAAAAGGTAAAGGGAAAAAAAGGAAGGAAGCAGTTGATACCGCACGTGTTTCAGGTTGTTTGTCACCGAAAGTCTCAATGTTATAAGTCGAGAGATGAGTAAATCAAGCAAGATTTGTAATTTCACCAAAAGATGTTGCCGCAGTCAGCCCAAAAATATCGAATGAAGTTTATCAAGGGTTCCACATCCACGAGTGGACTCAGGACCGTTGCGAGGATACCATGATAACCACTGTGAGTTTTTTTCAAACTCGAGTTCCTTAATTTTTTTTAATTTTCAAGAGATGCGGGGCTCGCTTGTGCAGTGTCTCTTAAAATGATATATATACTTATATAAAGATGTGTTTGTGAAACACTGATGTCCCCATATGGCAGCTTATGGAGAAGGCGAAAGTTTCTTAAATGCAAGTAAAACTCCAAGGTCAAAGTCGAGAGATAAAAAATGTTGGTACCAAAAGAAAGGTCTTGACGCAAGGAATGTACCTTTTAAATATTAAATCTCTAGCACCAACCGTTAAAAAGTTTTTGCAAAGGTTAAAGTATTTCAAATGTGGGTCAAAGGTCAAGCTCAAATTTAATGGTGCCCAAGGGAAGGTCTTGTCACAAGAAATACACTTGTGAAATATGAAAGCCCCAGCACCAACCTTTCAAAATTTAAGACCAAGGTTAAAGTTTTTCAATAGTAGGTCAAATGACAAGGTCAAGGAATAACAGTTGATACTGTTGGTATATAAGGGGTCTTTGTCACAAGAACTGCATGTCTGAAATATGAAAGCCTTAGCACCAAATGTTCAGAAGTTATGTATGAGATTTAAGATAAAAGAAGATCAAACTCCAAGGTCAAAGGGTCAGAATTGTTGGTACCCAAGAGAAGATCTTTTCACAAGAAATACACTGTGAAATATGAAAGCCCTAGCACCAATTGTTCAAAAGTTCAGGACAAGATTGAAGTTTTTTTTGAAAAGTAGGTCAAACTCCAAGGTCAAGGTGAAAGGTCATAATTGTTGGTACCCCAGGAAATGTCTTGTCACAAGAAAGACATCTGTGAAATACGAAAGCCCCAGCACTTACCGTTCAAAAGTTATGGTCAAGGTTAAAGTTTTTAAAAGTGGGCCAAATTCCAAGGTCAAAAATATTTGTATCCAGGAAAAGGTCTTCTCACAAGGAATATACATGTGAAGTATGAAAGCCCTAGCACCAATTGTTAAAAATTATGACTAAGGTTAAAGTTTAGTAAAATTTTGCGAAAGTGGGTCAAACTTCAAGGTCAATAGGTCTAATATTTGATACCCAGACAAAAGTCAGTATTGTTACCAGGAATACACATGTGAAATATGAAGACCGTAGCTCCAACTAATCAAAATGGGCCAGGTTGAAGTTTTTGCGGACAAACAGACAGCTAGACAGACAGACGGACGGACAGGGCAAAATCTATATGCTCCAAAATCTTTGATTATGGGGGCATAAAAATCCATTAAGGAAGAAAAGTTTGAAGGAAAAAACGGTTACTGACTCGCGCAAGTTATGGGATCTATTTCTCCCATTTTACAAACATGAGTCTTTTAGGTTCACTTTGAAACGCGCGGAGAAAATCAGCCAATCAGAATCGTTCTAAGCGTTTTATAACATGTTTTGAACATGAAAAAAGAACAACACTGGGATTCTTCGAAGGATTGCTGAAACACAGTTGATAATAATGAAAGTAATTAATCGTTGAGAACAGATTTCAAACTGGACCCTAATAAATATACTGTATGTCAAATATTGCAATATTCGATATTTTTTCATTTATATTGTTGAACTCTCCATTTGTACTGTACAATTTTTCATTTGTATTGTATAATTTATTTATCTTTTGTATTCTTTATAATTATCCATTTGAACTGTATTTTTTTCTATCTGGACATTTATAAAATGCAGATGGAAAATTATAGATTACAAATGGAAAATTGGACAATAAAAATGGAAAATAATAGAACACAAGTAGAAAATTACAGATGAAAATAAAAAATATGCAATACAAATGAAAATTTATACAATACAAATGAAAAATTATACAATGCAAAGGGAAAATTATACAATACAAATGAAAAAATTCGAAAATTGCAACTTTTGACATGCCACAGGTATTTATTTATATATTGTATAAATGTATTAAATTACAATAATCATAATTACACGTTCCCTCGGTAAAGGATTTTTTGGTTTATTTTGGCGATCAACCAATCTACTTTGATGCAGTTTTCTGTAAAGGCCGGTATACACCTACACGTACGCTAGGATTTGTATTATGCTACAAGTATTGTATGTAGTGTAGTACTCTCCCGTACATACCTTTATACATAGCTTGTGAGGTTAACGTTGTACAAGAAGTAGATATTTTAACAGTCATACTTTTCCCCCGCCTTATTTTCTCAGAACAATATCAGCCATACATGAACGCACATTTAAAATATCTTGCAAACTTTTTTTTTCATTTCTCTACCATAAAAGCAACGAACACTTCGGTTTTTTTTTTTTTTATTTTTTTTTTTTTTGCATTGATCAATGTGAGAACTTTGTTGAAACGGAAGGAATACGTTAACGTTAGATGATATATATATATATATATATATATATATATATATATACGAGGGTTGTTCGAAAAGTTCGTGGACAATGTCAATCCTCGTTATACTACTTTCAAGAAATTTAATATAAGTACGAAAGCCGGATAGGCTCATTTTTGATAAGATAAAAAAAATAATTAACTCGTTATAACGAGATAGTTATCTCGTTATAACGAGTTACATGTAGTTATCTCGTTATAACGAGTTAGTTATCTCGTTATAACGAGTTAGTTATCTCGTTATAACGAGTTAGTTATCTCGTTATAACGAGATAATTATCTCGTTATAACGAATTAGTTATGTCGTTATAACGAGATAATTATCTCGTTATAACGAATTAGTTATGTCGTTATAACGAGACAGTTTTCTTGTTATTTCGAGACTTAATAGCAAT